AAAAAAAAAAAAAAAAAAAAAAGAAAGAAAGAAAGAAAGAAAAGAAAAGAAACATAAAACTAAACATACAACCCATTCTCAGCCCTTGAGGTCAGTCCATGGGGTAAAGCAGAACCATGCAGCACTCAGGTCAATCTGGAAATAGCACATGGAAGGTACTTCCACCCATTCTCAAACCTTTTGCTCCACTAGTTTTATATAGTGGCATCATTCAGACTACAAAATGTCAGGCATGAGCCTTTAGCAAGAACTGAGGTTAAAGATCAAGCACCCTGCATGCAAGTCAGTGTGGTACCCTTTTTGCTGGTGTCTTCTTGCATAGTGATAAGAATCCATCCTTGTTTTCTGAGCCTTGTTGCCTTGTACAGTCTGTATAAGACTATTTCTTTATACAAATTTAGTTAGGACTCCCCCACCACCACCCTTTTAAATTTGACTCACCTGATTACTACAAAGAACCAAGTGAAAGGATCCCAGAACACCTGATTTAAAGAACCTGACCTAGAAATTGCCATAGAGCCACCAAGGTTTTAGCTCTGAAAGTAAGGGAAGGAATGCTGAATCATCCTGCTCCTAAGATGCTTGCTGTACCACAACCTCATTTCCAGGTCAGACTCATTTTGTCTGTTTTGGTATCTGTCTCTGAGTTTGCAACTATACTTGTTTCTTGAGCCAGCTAATCATACAGGCCTGTAGGTGGTCAAAACCTAATTCTTACTAGTGAATCTGTCCTCATACAAAGGCTCATTACAAAAACATTTCCACATCCAATTATGATCTCCCAGACACAGGAGTTAATTACAGCAATAGTCTCACATACTTCAAATTAGCCTTTAAGGCACTTTACTCAGTTGTCCAACTAACATTTTTTTTTAACCTTTTTTTTTTTTTTCAGTTTTTGGCCAGGGCTGGGCTTGAACCCACCACCTCCAGCATATGGGGCCAGTGCCCTACTCCTTTGAGCCACAGGCACCACCCTTTTTTTAACCTTTTAAAAAATATAGAATGCTTCACAAATTTGTATGTCATCCTTGTGCAGAGGCCACGCTAATCTTTTGTGTATAGTTCCAATTTTAGTATATATGCTGCCAAGGCAAGCACATCCAACTAACATCAACTGAAGTCCTACGATGTACCAGTTATGGAGCATACATTTGAGGAATTCCCAGTCATTCAGGGAATATTATAATCGAATATGATGAATGCTATTTCAAAAGGGATGGACAATGCTATTTGGCAGCAGATGAAAGAGAGGGATTACCTGGGGACAGGATAGGGAGCTCAAGACAGACTCTGTAGAGCTGAATGACTTATGCTGGATTTGAAGGATGGATAAAAGTTCACCACACAGAAGGGACCAGATGGGACATCTCAGGCACAGAAAATATTAGTGCAAGGCCTGAAGTCACAGACAGGTTGGGTGAAATCAGTGTAGACTGATATACAGGGTATAGTAGAAGAGAGGAGATAGAAAGTATTTAGACTAGAATTATTGGTCCTAACCTCCAGCTGGTACTATGTACCCAACTACCCTTATTGGTATTTATAAAAAGTAATATGTAAAAAGACCTAAGCCTATGCCTAGCACAGAATAAGTATCATATATATTTTGCTATGACTACATGCATTTTTGTGTCACATTCATTACTTTATCCCTAAGGTTAAGAATAATGAATACATATTTATAGAATAAATGAAGAACTTGCAGTGTTTAAAAAGGAAATGGAGATAGATATGATTTTCATGATGCCACACTCAGGAAAAAGGGAGCGTAGGTTTTCTTCAGGATTGCTTCAGTCCCCTGGAAGTCCCTCCCCTCTCCCCAGGTCTCCCACCCAAATCTATGCTGGATAGGGTAGATAACTAGATTAAATATAATCATTATATCTGTTTACATGTATAATCTTGTTGGAAATACAGGAATTGGAATCTTTAAATTCAAAACTTTTAATCTCTTTTTGGAATTCTACTTCCAGATATAACCTGAAGTTCTATCCCCTGTATTTGGGCTCTGACTAGCTCAGGAATGAATTTAAACAATTGGCTGAGGAACTACCCATACCTGCACCAAATCAATTCCTTCATCATATTCTCACACTAACCTCAAAAAAGCAATAGGTGTGAACGTTTTAAAACAATAACTGAGAAAATGACATGAAGGCTGTGTTGACCAGTTTGATGGAAGTATTTCAGATTACCCCACACTGTACCCCAGAAGTTCATTAATGTACATAGTTACCATTCAATTAAAAAAAAAAAAAAGCAATAGGAAGGAGCGAAGACACAAAGGCTTTGGAAAGGTGATACTTGAATTTCCTAAACTATAAAATTACTTTGTAAGATCACTGTCTGGCCTCAATTTAATTCAATTCAGTTCAATTCCACATTTATTGAGAAATGTGCTAGTACTATAGGTTGCAGATATGCTAAAGCAGACTTATTCCATATCACTGGGCTGGGAATTAGGAGATCAGGGGGTTTTTTTTTGTTGTTGTTGTTTTGTTTTTTGTTTTTTTTTAACTGCGGGTTGGCTACTGGCACTGAGAACGTCATTTCATCTCTTTGAGCCTCAGGTTTTTCTTTGTAAAATGAAGGAGTTAGAGTGGATAATCTCAAAGTCCTTTCTAGCTGTCACGTTCTATAATTCTCAAACGGGAAACAGTACCAATATCATTCATTGTTAACTCCGTATTTTCATATTTCAAAGCAAGTGAATTCTGGACTTATTTTCAGAAGAATGCTTGGCTTAGCAAATTGTCAAGAGTTTTCTATAGTATGACTAGAGAAGAAATGAGGAAATAGAGCTTTACTCCTTTATTCATTAAAAAATATTTGAGTGGGCTCAGCGCCTATAGCTCAACCGGCTAAGGCGCCAGCCACGTACACCTAAGGTGGTGGGTTTGAATCCCCAGCCCGGACCCGCCAAACAACAATGACGGCTGCAACCAAAAAATAGCC